AATGCGCTTCAGATATTCCCTCCTGGGAGATGGCGTGTACTTTGCTAATGGTGTCTCCGAGGCAGAGAAGTTTCGTTTTAAAACTTTATTTTACTCTCATTTATTTACGGTTTGTGCTTCTTATGTCTTGTTCTCTGTTAGGAGGCCTTTATCATATTCTCCTAGTTTCTTCTAAAAGTTTGAATGTTTTCTTTTCCACGTTCAGATCTTTCAAATGACCTGGCATTGATTTGTTTGGTGGACGGCGTGAAGTGGGGCAGGATTTCATTTTTATTCCCGGTGCTTCTGCAGCTGCTTCTGCACCATCTCTTCTCCAGGTATTTGTCATTTCTCCACACCTGCCATCCATCAAGTCCCCTGTGTGTGCAGGAGTCTCTGGTCTCTCTCTTGTCCCACAGGGTCTCTGTCCGTCTCTCAGCCGACTTCCCACCACCGTGGAGAGCACAGTTTCACACAAGGCTGGAGACCGGCTAGCGCAGGGGGTCCCTGCGTGGTACAGACAGTGAACACGCTCAGCCGCTAACCAAAAGGTTGGAGGTTCGAGTCCACCCAGAGGCACCTCAGAAGAAAGGCCTGTTGATCTATTTCCAAAAAAATCATCCATTGAAAACCGTATGGAGTGCAGTTCTACTCTGATACACGTGGGGGCGCTGTGTTGGCAACTAGATTTTCACCCCCTAAATGTTTCTCCTCCAAATCTTTCTGGCTATTACTGGCCCCATTTTCTTCCGTATTGATTATGGAATCAGTTTGTCAATTTCCATATAAACCTTGTAGGAATGTGATTGAGTTTCCCTGAATTCATAGATTAATTTAGGGAGAAATGACCTTTTTTAAGCTATCAAGCCTTTCTCCCCTGGAACATAAAACAATCTCCATAGATTTAGCTCTCTAATATCTTTCAATAACGGTCTTTATTTTCTCTATAATTGTCTTGCATATTTTTTTCCATTGGGTTTATTCTTAGTTATAGGAGCCCTGGTGGTGCAGTAGTTAAGTGCTCAGCTGCCACCTGAAAGGTCAGTGGTTTGAACCTACCCAATGGCCCTGAGGGAGAAAGACCTGGTGATCTGCTCCTGTAAAGATTACAGCCTAGGAAGCCCTATGGAGCAGTTCTACTCTTTCCCATGGGGTAGCTGTAGTTGGAATTGACTCAACAGCACCTAAAAACATTTTTAGCTATTTTAATGTTTTTAAATTTCCAGTGGGAATGTTGTCTTTATAAATTATGTTTTCTAACTCTTGGTGGGAGCCCTGGTGGAGCAGTGGTTGACAGCTACAGCGTGGTATGGCTGTTATCCAAAAAGACCAGCAGTTTAAATCCACCAGACACGCCTTGGAAACCCTATGGGGCAGCTCTCCTCTGTCCTATAGGGTCGCTTTGAGTCCCTGTCGACTCACGGCCAAGGGTTTGGTTTGGTCGAGTTTAACTCTTGGTTGCTAGTAGATAAGGAGGTATTCAGTTTTCGTATATTTTGCTCATATTGAGCCACGATGAAATCTTATCAGTTCTAATAACTTGGAATTGTAGCTTCTCTTGGGTTTTCCTCGTGTACAATTATGTGTTTGTAAATAATGATATTTTTATTTCTTCCCTACTTGTCTCTTTACTTTTCTTTCCGTTTTCTTGTTTCACTGCTCTTGCTGGGACACCTGGACTGTAAAGTAGAAGGTGAGGGCTGACATTCTTGCTGATTCTTGATTTTTAAAGGGAGTCTTCTAACGTTTCACTGTCAAGGATGAGGTTTACTGCAGGTTACTGGAAGATCCCTTCTTCCAAGATTTTTTTTTCATGAATGGTGTTGTGTTTTATGTATGTTTTCAATCTTTTACACTCTTTGCGTGTGAACAGAAATTGCTACATCAGTCAATTTTCTAAGGTGAAACTATCTTTGCAACAGAGAAGGCCACCTCAGCATGATGTGATTCTTTAAACTTTGTAGGTTTTTGTTTTGTTTTGTTTTTTGGTGGGGAGATGTTTAACTACTGGTTCAAGGTCTTAAACAAAAAAATTGATCTATTCCAATCCTGTAATTCCTCTTAAGTCAATCGATGTTTTTAAGATAGTAAAGCTTCCTCTCCTGGAACATAGTAACAATCCCCGTTTATTTCAGTCTCTTTCTTATCTTTCAATAACGTTTTTTATTCTCTCTGTAGTTGTCTTGCACATCTTTTATTGGATTTATTCTTACTTACCTTGAGAAGTTGTCAGTTCTCCCTAAATTACATTGTATTCTTCCAGGAAATCGGCTGTCTTCTCTAGTTTCAAATTTATGGTCATAAAGTTGTTTATGGCTTTCTTTGACTACATATTTGGTCTCTGCAGTCCCGGTAATTATGTCCCTCCTAGTCCTCATTTTGTCTGTTTGTGTCTTCTTCCCTTTCTACAAAAGTTTACCCAAGATTCAAACATTTTATGGGCTTTTCACAGAATCTGTCTTTTACTTTGTCGATGGTCTCCATTACATTTTTGCTTTCTATTTTTATTAACTTCTTCTCTTTTCCTTGGTTTTAATCTTTTGTTCTTCTAATTTCTTAGAGGAGATGTTTAACCTGTTGAAATTTTTGGTTTTGTTCCCCCCTTTTTTCTTTTCTAACGTAAGTACTCAGGTTCCAATGTTTCCCTCTAAATTCTGTTTTAGCTGCATCCCTGGGTTTTAAGATGTGGCTCTTTCATTATTACTCAGTTCTAAGTGTTTTCTAGTTTTCCTGATAATGTCTTCTATGACCTGTGAATTATTTAGCTGTGTGTTTTTCAATTTCTAAACATATGCTTTAAATGTTATCCTTTAGTTAAGTTCTGACTTGGTCACAGAGGGATGGCAGTTGGTGGCCAGGACATGCCTATCACTTGGACTTTGTTGAAACTTGTTTTACGTCCTAATATATGGTCAACTTTTGCAAATGTTTCCTATGTGTTCTCTTGTGTAGGGGAAAGTGTTCTGGAGACATCTGTTCAATTGAGCCTAATTGCTTTGTTCAAATCCTAGGCATCGTTCTCCACTCTTTGTATCTCCCTGTCTAACGATTACTCAGGGACGTGCCTTAAAAACCCCCACGTGGGTTCCGGAATTGTTAGTCTGTCCATGTGATTCCACCTTTCCTATCTTGCACAACTTGTATTGAGCTCGTGCGCATCCAGAACCACGGTTCCCCACCCGTCCGTGGTGACCTCCTTATCCCCAGGAAGCTTTCTCCCTCCTAGGCGTTTGTATTGCTCCATTGCCTTGTCTTGGTGCTATCTGGTCACTTGAGCCCCTCATTTGTAATATTAAGATCTTCCACTTTGCGTCACTGCAACGGAGAGATCTCGGTCGTGGAGAACACTTCTCTCATGTCCTGCTCATATGTTACTCAGGACACTGACATCTGCACAGGTGTGGGGATGGGGGCAGGTGTATGTGTGTGGCTTGTGTGTATCTAGGAGGCACGTGTGTTTGTATGAGTGTGTGTGGTGTGTATGGGTGTGTGCATTGTAGGGCATATATGTATGTGTGTGTTTATGGCTGTGTGTTGGGGTGTGCACACACATGGGAAGTTTTATTTGTGGGAAGCATGGGAGTGTGTGTGTGTATGTATCTATGAGTGCATGCTGGGACATGCACATACGTGTGGGGAGATATGATTGTGGGTAGATGGAGTGTGTGCACATGTATGTAAGTGTGTGGATGTGTTGGGATAGACACACATGCGGGAAGTTATGGTTGTGTGTGTGGGAGATGGCATGTGTGTGTGGGTGTGTTAGGGCATGCACACATGTGTGGGAGTTATGATTGTGTGTGCGGAGTGGACTGTGTGTGTGTGTTTGGGTGTGTTGGGGAGTGCACACATGGGGGAGTTATATTTGTAGGGGGATGGGCTGTGTGCACGTGTGTGCACGTGTATGTGTCTGCGTGGGGGCGTGCACACACATGTGGGGCGTTATGACTGTGTGTGTGCAATGGGCTGTGTGCGTGTATGTGCGTGCGTGCGTGTGTGTGTGTGTGTTCGGGTGTGCACGCAAGTGTATGCATGTGCTACCTGGGGTGGGCTTCATCGGCGGGCTGCAGCGCCTCCTTACAGACTGCACTGGGCGCCCTGCCTCCCTAGCCCGTCAGCACGTGGACAGCGTGGCCCTCGGCCCCCGCGCCTCCCAGGAGAGGCGGTGTTGGACGCCTCGCTTCCTCTGTGACTGCTGTACAGGGCTCTGCGTCTTGATCCAATTTTTGTGATTTATATTTTCCATAATTCTATTTTGTCAGGAGTTTCAAATTTATGGGCGCAGCCTCACACTGTGTTCTCTTAGAATATAGAAAGAACGGTTTGTTTGCCATGTTTGCTTTCTCACTGGAAAATGTGCTTTTCTACATTCCTTTCCTTCCCAGCTTGTGCAGGGTTGGCTCTGTACCGAGGTCCTCAGAGAAAGGCCTCCCGGGGCTTGGGATCCACTTTTGCTTGCATGGCCCGTGGGGTGTTGGTGAAGTTTGGGGCATTGCCCTTGAGCTATATCCCCCCTGCACGTGGAGACCCTCCTCCCTCCCTCCCTCGGAAAGAGCAAAACTCAGAGCCAGCGAGTCAGCCAACGAAGCCCCAGCTGGAGTGGAGACCTGAGGGGTGTGTGTCCTGGTGGGATGAGGACAGGCGTGGAGGCCACTGGCTGAGTCCTGGGTGCAGAGGCTCTGGTGGCCGTGGGAACCTACCCTGCCGTCTCCTGAGCTGAGCCCTGAGATGGGCAACCACTTTCTTGCTGGTCCCCGAGCCGCAGAGCAGCCACGGGAAGCTCTGGCCGCCCCCGCCCACTCAGCCCCAGCACAAGTGCACACCTGGTGGAGGGGGGTCTGCTCACTTTATTGTCAGACCCCAAGGGGTGGGGATGGCGAGGACAGAGACGGGGGCGGAGCTCTGGGACAGGCTGTGGGCCCCGTCGGGGACAGTCCAGGAGCCCAGGAAGGAGACTCGGAGCGGGAGGTCGGGGAGCAAGGGGGGTCTCTGCCTCCAGGGTCCTCTTCGGCTCCGCCTCTTTACTTCCAGCGCCCTCCAACCTTGCCCTTGGCCGGGGTACCGGCCTTCTTGCTACTGCAAATGGTAAGTAAGGTGGGCTTGAGTGTCAGGGTGGTGGCTGAGCACTCCCAGGGCCCACAGACCCACGGCCCTGGCAGCTAGGCCCTGTGGGCTGCTGTGAGGGCAAAGGTCCAGCCCTCCCGGTGCCCCTGCACTTACCTCGCTCAGCCCAGTGGCACCGACTCACCTGTAACTGGGCCAGTACCTGGGCCTGGTAGCTTGGTGCAAGGGGTCAGTGTGGTTAGGAGAGGCGGGCGCTGGCGAGCAAGCCTGGGACACCCCCCCACCCTGCCCAAGGGCTCCAGGCATGGGCAGCCGTGGTGGTTCTAGGCCTCAGGAAGTCTGTCTCACAGACTTGTCTGTCTTCCTGATTATCTGGCTGGAAAAGAGCTTGTCTTCCCTTCAGCACGGCCTCGCGAGGCAGAAGGGGCCGGGGGGCCCAGCCTGAGGACCAGGAGGGCCTGGGAGGCCTTGGCTCCATACCCACCGGCTGGGGCTGAACCCTGAAGGTCAGAAGTTCACCACCCAAGGGGTCGCAGTCCTTGGGAGTCTGCCCCGTCTAGGCCCTTTGCACGCTACGCCCCACGAGGACACCAGGTGGTGGGATGGGGGCCGAGCCAGGTGGGGGCACGAGGATGTCTCAGGCTCAGGCCTCTGGGATCAGGCACTACAGCTCAACATGACCTCCGGCCTGAGAAGTAGGTGCCACGGCCCGGCTAGCTGAGGACAAGGCCTGACCCACGACCACGCCCTGGGCCCAGGCTCTTCTGCAGGAGGTGGGCTGAGGTGGCCCAGCGTGTCTGTGCACACACCCTCACACATGCACACGCACGCCCACGCATGCATGTCCCCCTGGCCTGCACGGTCCAGCCCTGACCCGCACAGCACAGACCAGGGTGAATGGCTGTTCCACTTGTCACCAGCCCCCGGGAGCAGCAGGAAACCAGGGTAAATGGAAACCCCCTAAAATGCCAAAATGCTGCAACCCCCAGTTGCCCCCTGGCCCACTGTGCTCCTGGCCCACTGTGCTCTGGACCCACTGTGCTCCTCAGGGGTGTGAAATGGCTTCACAACCAAACTTAGTGACAAACCCTGAGTGGGGAGCACACCACCCAGGGGATCTGAGATGGGCCTCAGTGGTCAAGCGGTGCAGCCTCTCAGGGTCCTGCCCAGCAACTGGCCCTGGGGTGGGTGATTTCATAGACCGATTCCCACCCAGGATCGAATTTGAGCCCACCTCCTGGACTCTGCCCCTGTCACCCTTTGTGGTGAAATGCTGGTAGAGGACCAGGGGTCCAAGGGCCTCCTGCTGGGAGAGGTGTTCCCTCCTGCCCCTCCTGGTCTCTGTGCTGGGTCTGAGCAGGCGTGCTGGAGGAGACGCGGCCCTCGGTTAGTTGGGTTACTCCCTGCGCAGGGTGCCACCACTGGCCTTTGGTTTAGGGACCCGCAAAATTGGCCTGTCCCAGGTGGGGGTGGCGGCAGACCCCGCAGGGCTGTGTGCCCAGCACAGAGTGAGGGACAGCAGGTTACTCACTGCTTCTGGGCCTGTTCGATGCGGCTCCTGAGGTTGGTGATCTGTAAACAACACGGACGACTTACTGTGCAAGGCTGAGCATGGCAGCTGGCAGGAGCCGAGACCTTCTTCTCCACAGGAGAGCATGGGGACACGCTGTAGTGTCCCCGTGTGGCAGCTTGTACTGACTGTTCCTTGGCAGGCGTCCCAGGTCCCTGGTGCCACCATCAGCACCCTGCACACCACGTGGACATCAGCACCCTGCACACCGCATGGACGTGAGCGCCCCACGCGCCACGTGAACGTCAGCACCCTGCGCGCCACGTGGACATGGACATCAGCACCTTGCACACCGCGTGGACATCAGCACCTTGCACACCGCGTGGACATCAGCACCTTGCACACCACTTGGACGCCAGCACCCTGCGCGCCACGTGGACGCCAGCACACAGTGTACCACATGGACTGTCAGGCTCCCTTACTGTTTCCTGGTGCCTCTTGCGAAGGGACACTGTCCCCAAGCCCCCAGGGCTCATGCTTCTCTATTACTCACAGTGACCTGTGGTGGAGACCTGGGCCAGGGCACACAGCAGCTGTGAGTGACCACTTACCTTTGGCTGCGGTAGGATGAGGGCCGTGGGTGTGGAGTGGGTGAGGCTGCAGGGAGGTGGGGGCTTGCGAGTCCGTCTCTCTCAGCCAGGGCTGCCTTCTGAGCCCCTGGGAGCCTGGCTGGTGGTCCCAGCACAGAACCACGCACCTTCCCTCTCTCTCTTTGCCAGTCCAGCAGCCCCCTCCTCCAGAGTGCACCTCAGGGGTGAGGTGCCCTGGCCAGATCTAGGGCCAGGAGCTGGAGGGAGAAGGGGGCAGAGGGAGTTGCAGAGGCTCATGCCTGCTCCGTGCCCACGGCCTCAGCATCCTGCACGACCTGAGAGGTGCCATGCATGAACTCCTCGTGCACTGCACACAGGAGTTGGCCCTGCTGTGCCCCGGGTACTTACAACTTGGCCAGCATCTCCACTCTGGCCCGCACATTCATGATCTGGAAAGACCAGATAGTTATGGGACTGAGGCTGCTGTTCCTACTTCTCCTTGGCTGCGTGGGCTGGGGCCTCCAGGCTCCCGCCACCCCAAGGCCCCCATGGGCTGTGGGTTGATCAGTGTGACCACAAGGCAGGGAGGACTGGGCTCGTGTGAATGCAGCTGGGGCCTCTGACTTGGCTCTGTGACCCCTGTACATGCAGGGGGAGCCTGTGGCTGCAGGGTCACCCTCCCAGGGAGGATCCCCAAGAAGGGACAGCCTTGCTCTCTCAGTGCACTCATGAGCTGGACCATGCTGGGCCCGTGGGGATGTATCCCCTCCTGGGGGCAGCCCCTGAAGGACATACGAGGACCTCCTTCTGCTAGAGAGAGGAAACTGAGGCACAGAGAGGTTAGGTAGCCTGCTGAAGGACACAGAGCACCAAAGGGAGCCCTGAGTCTGTGCCCATCACCCAGCACCATGGTGTCTCGGTTGCCGCATTTAAGGGGTTGATGTCAACACTCCACAGCATGAAACCGCCTCCCTTACCCAGGCCCTCTGACTCAAAGTTCCAGGCGTCACCTGGGATTTCTTATCAGGCCCACTGGCCTCAGAGGGCAGGAAACAGCCTCCAATGCTGCCCCACCCCACTTCTCAGACCACCAAGGCAGGCTCCCCCCAGGGCAGTGTCTGCATCAGGGTGCTGTGGTCTGACCCCCAGACAGGGGCAACCCCATCCCCTCCCCATTGCTGGGTGGGGTGTGGGTACCCCTCTGCCTGCTGTGGTGCCAGCTGGGATGGCAGCACTCCAGGTCCACTCCCTGGGGTGGGGTGGGGGCTCGAGGAGGCATGCGTGTTGGGTGGGAGGGGGACACTACTCAAGGACCCGGGGCACCAGCTGCCCAGGCAGTCACAGGAAAGCTGACTTCTCGGGGACAGTGTTGACTGGGACCTGGGCTTGCAGGGACACTGGGAGAAGGACGTCTCAGTGTGGGGGGACATTAAGCAAGATAAGCTCAGTGACACGAGGATGCCCTACCAGCCTGAGATAAGTTGGAAAGGACCCTGAGGCCCCTGGCCCCATGCTCCTTCCTTACACCGGCTCTCACCCGGTCAGCCCAGTGCCTGTGGGGGCCGGGCTCATGCTCAGCTGTCTTGGTGACCTGCCCTGAAGGCATGCCAGCCACAGCCTCAGGAATCAGGGGGCCCTGTGTGGGCTTTGGAGGGTGGACCCAGAGGACGAAGGGGGTCAGGAGGCTGGTGCTGCCCGGCGGATGGGGGACCAAGAGGTCCACGGGTTGCAGGTCCTACACTCACATCATATTTCTGACGCTTCAGCTTCTCCCCATACTCAAACTTGTCAGTCTCGAGCTTGTGTAGGGTGTCCCAGAGCTCCTTGGCCTTGTCCCTGGGAAAGTGGACAAGGGGACAATTGCCAGTTAAGCTCTGGACAAGCAACGTCAGGCCCACCCGCTTGTCTTTGGCCACCATGGGGAGCTGGGCCCAGACGTCTCGCAGAAACCTTGATGGTGGGTTCAGAGACTGTTCTGGAAGCTCTATCGAGGCCAACCTGTTGCCACCCCCACTACCCATCCCCCCAGCCCATCTTCTGTCCTAGAGGATGCGCCCTCACCTCAGCTTGTCCTCGCTGAGGTGGTCAATGTTGAGCGGCTTGCGTCTCTCAGCCAGGATCTTCTTCTTCATCTCCCGGGCAGTCTGTTTCTTGCCTCTCTTCTGGTCGGCCTGAGGGACAACAGGGTCCAGGGAGAGGGGCCTGATCTCAGGAACCTGGACTGAAGTCCTATCCAGGGGTTTGGACAGAGGCCAGGCCATCTCTTGGCTCTAAGGACTACACTCACCTTGGTCAGGTAGCTGCTGTAGTTGGCACCCATGGAGGACAGAGCCTTCTTCTTCTTCAGGTCATCCTCAGCTTTCCTCTTGGCTTCCTCCTCCTCCCTCCTGGCTTTCTCCTCCTGTAGAGACCCCATCCCCAAGACCCTCAGGTGTGGGGTCATGGCTGTGTTGTTCTCTGGGTACACTTTGGGGCCCCATCCCAGACTTGGAACTTTCTGGGAGCTCCAGGTACTGGTTGAGGTCTGCCATTTTGCAGGGGGTTCTACAGGGCAAGGTCACCATGGGAGCCTCACCAGGGACCACTGGCAACTGTGAGCAGGATCACAAGAGAAGGAAAGACAGGGACCTTTGCATTTCTCTGGGCCCGGGGCTCATTGTCTCAGGGTCTAGGGGTGGGGAAGGGGTCCTGGGCCTCACCGCCAATCTATTCTGGCGCTCCCTGTCCTTCTCGGCACGGATTCTCTGCTGGTCTGCTCTCTCTGCACGGCGCTTCTCCTGTGGTCAGAGGAGCAGGTCAGCCCAACCTTTCCACCCTCTGAGAGCAGCCACCGGTCCCCCCATCATCTCACGTCAGTCCCCTCCCTTGGGATGTGGGCTGTGACCACGTCTATGCAGATGGGGAAACCTAGGGCTGGGGCCAGAACTGCCCAGACTCACAATTCTTTCTTTGAGAGCAACCAGCTCCTCCTCCTCCTTCTTCCGGGCTTCGAAGTGGCTGTCGATCAGAGCCTGGAGCTCCATGAGGTCTTTGTTCTGGCGTTTCTTCTGGATGTCCTGTGAACAGGAGATGTCCGCCAGTCTCCAAGCCACCTCTCACACCCTAGACCTGCCTGCAACGAGCAGCACCTGCCTTTGCTCCAGCTGAGAAGCCCTGACTCCTGGCCACCAAAGACCTGAGAGCTGCAAGGGGCCTTGGGGCCTCACCACATCCCCATGGCTACTGTCTTCCTACAGGTCCAGGGCTGCCTGATCCCTGAGCCACAGTGGAAATGGTTCCCTCCCTGTGTGTGCCCAAGTCCTGTCCAGGCCCTGCCCAGCCATGAAGTCATCAGCACCCCTGGGATGGACTGGCTCCAATGTGACCTTGTTTTCATCCTCAGTGATGCTGTATGTGGACCTGGTAGAGAGGATACTGGCCAGTGAGCTAATTTGCTGGACAAATAATAAACAGGTGGATGGGTGGGTGAGTGGATGGATGTATAAGTGGCTGGCTGGATGGAAGGAAGGAATGATGGATGGATGGATGGATGGGTGAGTGGGCAGATGGGTGGGTGAGTAGGTGGGCAGATAGATGGATGGATAAATGGGTGGGTGAATGAATGGGTGGATAGATGGATGGATAGGTGGATGGTGAGTGGATGTATGAATAGATGGGTGGATGGATGCATGGATGGATGGATGGGTAGATGGATGGGTGCATGGATGAGTGAGTTGGTGTGTGGGTGGATAGATAGGTGGATGGATGGGTGGGTAAATGAATGAATGGATGAGTAGATGGATGAATGTCCAGGTGGGTGAGTGGATGTATGAATGGATGGGTGGATGGATGGATGGGTGAGTGGATAAGTGGATAGACTGATGTATGAATGAATGAGTGGGTGGGTGTATGATGGATGGATGGATGGATGGTTGAGTGTGTAGATGGATGGGTGGGTGAGTTGGTGAATGAGTGGTTGGGTGGATGATGGATGGATGGATGGATGGTTGAGTGGGTAGATGGATGGGTGGGTGAGTTGGTGAATGAGTTGGTGGTTGGGTGGATGAATGGGTGGATAGGTGAATGACTGGATGAGTGGATGGATGGATAGGTGCATGGGTGGGTAGGTGTGTGGAGAGATGTGTGGAAGGATGAATGGGTGGTTAGATGGATGGGTGGGTGAGTTGGTGGGTGAGTTGGTGGGTGGGCGGATGGGTGGATTTGTGGGTGTATTGGTGGGTGAGTTGGTGGGTGGGTGGATGAATGGTTGGATGGGTGGATTGGTGGGTGTGTGGATGGGTGGAAGGGTGGATGGATGGATAGGTGGATGAGTGGATGGATAGGTGGACGAGCGGATGGATAGGTGGATGAGTGGATGGAAGGAAGTAAGGATGGATGGATGGATGGGTGGGTGGATGGGTGGGTGGGTGAGTGGATGTATGCATGGATGGGTGAATGGACAGATGGATGGGTGGGTGGATGGAAGGAAGGATGGATGGATACGTTGATGTATGGATGAATGAATGGGTGGTGGATGATGGTAGGATGGATGAATGAATGAGTGGGTAGATGGATGGGTGGGTGAATGATGGGTGGGTGGATAGATGGGTGGAGGGATGGACGGGTGGAGGGGTGAGTGGTGAATAATGGATAGATGGATGGTTGAATGGATGGATGAATGGGTGGGTAAATGGTGGATGGATGGGTTAATGGGCGAATGAGTAGATAAATGGGTGTTAGATGGATGTGTGGGTGGGTGGATGTATGAATGGGTGGGTGGATGGATGGATATATGGATAGGCGGGTGGATGGGTGGGTGGATGGATAGACAGATAATATAGATAGATGTTGTTGTTGTTAAGTGCCATCAAGTCGGTTCTGACTCATAGAGACC